AGTAGTACTTGAACAATAGGCTGTTGATACATGCAATTTTATTAGGAATTTTTTTTGAACAATAGGCCAAAGCAAAGATAATTAAAAAAAAAAAAAATTGAGGAAAATTGCTGCTCATGCAGCGATTTCATTTTACTTTTTTTAAAAAAAAAAATCTTAAGAAAATCGCTGCTGAGCAGCGATTTTCATTTTATATATTTTTTTTAAAAGATCGCTGCAGCGATTTTAGTTTTAAACAATAAATATTTTTTTGACTAAATCATTGTTGTGGCTGTGATTTTAATTTCTTTTAACGGCATAAATGGAGTCAATTTTATACTAAAGATATCGCTCCCTCAGGAGCGATTTTACTCTCTTGGTTTAATTTTTTTTGATATGCCGTTTATGTTTTTTGAAGGAAAAAAATTACCCTTTTGATTCCGGACTCATATAAAAAGACCACTCAATATTTCATAATTGACCGATGTGAGACTTTTTCAACCGTTACACTATTATTAATAAGAAAAAATCTCTAGATTAAGGGTGTGTTTGGAATGGAAGAAAACATTTTCGTTTTTCTTATTTTTCCATATTTGATTGGACAAATTTTTTTAGAAAATATTTTTTTTCTCTCTAAGAAAACAAGTTCCTTAAAAGTGAGAAAAAACTAACTTTCTTAATATAAATACGAAAAACAAGTTCTATAATTAATATTTTATGTGTATTGTATCTTCCCACCCACCCAATGTCCTACACCCCACCCCCTTTCACACCTATAATTTTTTACTAGATTACATATAATTACTTTTGAAATGACATTTTATTTATTTATATAATTATCAAGCAATAATAAATAAATAAATCAACTTAAATTCCAAAAAAAAAAAAAACTTTCAGAAAAAACATTTTTCATGAAAAATATTCTTCGCGTCAAACGTACCCTAAAGTGTCTTTGCACTAGCCACTAGGGGAAAAAGTCCAACTTTACCCTTATTAAAGTGTGACTCAACCATATCTCTGTCTTTACAATTTTGGCGCAAAATTACAGTCACTCACATAATAGACCAAATTTCTTTGCTCTCACTCTCGTTCTTTAAATTCATAGAGGAATTAAGAAAAGAGTACTGAAAAATGGTGCATTACTACAATGTATTTTATTTTTAAAAAAATAAAGACTGACTGGCAACAAATAAAGTCAATTAATTAATGATCTCCACTGTCAAATCAAGCAAATTGAAATTAGAAAAAAATAAGGGGGGGGGGGGGGGGGGGGGCGGGGGGTTTTTTTTTTTT